CTGGAAGTGAGGGGAGGGAACTCACCAAACAGTGGACTCTGGAGACTCCTATGCCAAGGTCTGGTTAATATAATTCGAGAACTGGGGAATCTATTCTGAAGTTGGTTATGTCATTGGTAAGGGATTGTATTGGGAGGAATTTATGTTTGGGAGGCCTTCTGTGCTTTGCCTACTTTTTGTGTACTATGGTCACTATGGTTGGCTATGTGCTCTCATTTTAAATGAGAGAGACAAGGGACTGCCCAGAATGTCAGCTAAAAGAAGGGAGCACCTAAATCCTGCCAGTGTGATGAATAAGCTACTGTGGATATAAAAGGTCTACAGACCCCATTTAAAATGTCAGGTTTCTGTGATGGAAAAAAAAAAAAATGACAAAAATAAATTTCAGAACTTTTTTCCACTTTTATACAGTTTGTAGATTACATGAACTCAGTTGAATAACAAACTGAAATATTTTAGGTGGAGGGAAGTAAAAATAAAATAATATGGTTGCATAAGTGTGCACACCCCTAAGCTAATACATTGTTGAAGCACATTTTGATTTGATTCCAGCACTCAGTCTTTTTGGGTATGATTCTATCAGCATGGCACATCTTGACTTGACAATATTTGCCCACTCTTCTTTGCAAAAAACACTCCAAGTCTGTCAGATTGCGAGGGTATCTCCTGTGCACAGCACTCTTCAAATCACCCCGCAGATTTTTGATCAGATTCAGGTTTGGGCTCTGGCTGGGCCATTCCAAAACTTTTTTTCTTCTGGTGAAGCCATTACTTTGTTGATTTGGATGTATGCTTTAGGTCATTATCAAGCTAAAAGATGAAGTTCCTCTTCATGTTCAGCTTTCTATCAGAAGCCTGAAGGTTTTGTGCCAATATTGACTGGTATTTGGAACTGTTCATAATTCCCTCTACCTTGACTAAGGCCCCATTTCCAGCAGAATGGAAACAGCCCCAAAGTATGATACTGCCACCACCATGCTTCACTGTGGGTATGGTGTTCTTTTGGTGATGTGAAGTGTTTTTGCGCTAAACATATCTTTTGGAATTATGGCCAAAAAGTTCAACCTTGGTTTCATCAGATCATAACACATTTCCCCACATACTTTTGGGAGACTTCAGATGTGTTTTGGCAAAAAATTTAGCCGGGCTTGGATGTTTTTCTTTGTAAGAAAAAGCTTCCATCTTGCCACTCTACCCCATACAAAATAAAATAAGGAATGTGCTGCAAATCACTTAATTAGTGCACATATAACAAAAAGTCCATGTGTCAAGTCCCAAAAAAGTAACTTATAAGTTTGGTGAAAAAATATATATTTGTGCTCATAATCCACCACCAGAAGAAATACATAAACTCACCAGAGCTTATTGCCGATTAATTAAAACCAGCAAAAACGCTGTTGCTCTGGGAGCGATGGTAATAAATGAATCCAGATATTCAAAGCAGTACTCTATAGAGGAATGGAATATCCAATTTTGTGAGCAATACTCTGCAGCAGCAACATCAAGCCAGCATCTAGGAACCTTTACTTAATCGTCTCCTCCATTCATTATCATGGAACCACACTCGGGGATAAAGAAAAGGAATGATGGTGCAGCGTGTTTTAAAAAACATCACATTTATTGAAAGGTAAGTAAAAAACTCACAAACAAGGTGTCACGCCTACACGAGCATGATAAGCAATGAACAATGGCATCAGATTGCAGATAGCGTACAAATCCCGCTCGCCGCGGATACCTCCACTACTACCAGGGAGCGTCCTGACGTCACGGACATCCAGGCTCCGCCCTACGCGTTTCGTCACAAATGACGTCCTCAGGGAGCGGCTTGGATATCAGACACCATGATAACTAATACACACACACACACACACACACACACACACACACACACTTACTTTGCAATGCAGGAGATCTTAATCAATCAGCACAACATCTCACAGAGTGCTGGACTGATTGTTACAAATAGGTAACCATTCCAAACATGTCATTTATATAAACTGTATCAAGTCTACAAAGTAATATGTATCATTATACTCAACATAATTTAGATAAATATTATCTGCTCCTTTTGTTGAATTTGTAACAAACGAAAAAGGAGTGTTGAATATGTCCTTCCATTTAAAAAGGACCTATTTCACATTTATATTTAAATAAAAAAAAGTAAAAAAAAAAAAAAATATCTATATATATATCTATATCTATATATCTATCTATATCTCTATATATCTATATCTATATATAAAACATGTATCTCTATTTATACACAATTAGACAAAAATAGAGGCAGGGAGTCTTTGCACTAAAAGAAAATATCCACACCCACATATATAAAAAAAACTTTTTTAAAATTGAAAATATATATATATATATATATATATATATATATATATATATATATTATATATAATATATATATCAATTTTAAAAAAGTTTTTTTACAGTGGGTATTTAGTCAGCCACCAATTGTGCAAGTTCTCCCACTTAAAAAGATGAGAGAGGCCTGTAATTGGCATCATAGGTAGACCTCAACTATGAGAGACAAAATGAGAAAAAAATCCAGACAATCACATTGGCTGATTTGGAAAGAATTTATTTGCAAATTATGGTGGAAAATAAGTATTTGGTCACCTACAAACCAGCAAGATTTCTGGCTCTCACAGACCTGTACCTTCTTCTTTAAGAGGCTCCTCTGTCCTGCACTCATTACCTGTATCAATGGCACCTGTTTGAACTGTGAGGACGTCGGATGACGAAACTAGTACGGCGGGGCTTTTTTGGATGTGACATCGGGATGCTCCTCATAGACTGTCGGCTGTGATATCACGGTGAGCGAGGCTCGTCCCTGCCTTCTTGAGGCTGTCATTGCGGTTCTGTACAGTATGTTGCAATAAAATGCAGGGCTGCGTTGCAGTATCAATGGAACACACAAAAAACAAATGTTTTCTGTGTCCCCTTGCTGTGATGTGTTTTACAATGCGGTAAAATGCCTGTCAACCGCACTGTGTGTGAATTAGCCCCAAGTATTTGGAAAAACAGTCAATTTTCAAAACAGCATGAAGCTTGCTGGCCATTATTAATTTGATTGCGCACCTAGCTCATTGGTTTTTCAACACTTTTTTACCCATCTAGACTGATTTCACAGCACTGCATAAAAAGGGAATGTGTAATTTCCCATCAAACAAACCAAGAAGCCAAAAGCAGAAAATGATCTTTTTCACAGAGACAGTCAGTTTGCCATTGACTTTTAGCATTAGAGTCCATTCACACTTTGTGGTTCTCATGCCTTACATTAAAGCGGAGCTAAATCCAAAATACTTACCCCTTCTTCAATGGCTCAATACCCACGAGGTCCCTCGACAGCTTTTTTTCCCTGGTTTCTTCCAGGTTCCAGTCTTTGGCCATCTTAGTTTGCCAGTGTTGGATGACATCACTACCAGGCACATGCAGGAATATTTAATTTTATTGCAGAAGCAACACACTCCCAGCTGTTTTCTATGTTTTATCTTAGTTCTGCTTTAAGGCAGATCATTTTTCCCCATGTGCTGGCTATGCACAAGATTATACCAAAAACAGATGTGCAGCATTTTTCTCAACCCAGTGCACCACAACACACTGTAGTGCATTGAGATACACTGTAACACATGTTCCTTAGAACTGCTTTGTCCTATTACATTGGTGTGCCATTCAAGATGAAAACCAGACCAAAAATGCGCCAATGCACAAAACAGCAACACAAAGATATGTTTCAGCCCTCAAAGCAGCCTGACCAGTGCAAGCAAATTTTAAGTGATTCTAAAGGTTAAAAAAAAAAAAAAAAAAAAAAAAAAAAAAAAAAGTTATACTTACCTGGCTATGGTTTTGCACACAGCAGCCCCGATCCTCTCCTTTTCTGGGTTCCCTGCCAGTGGTCCTGTCTCCTCCCTCCTGCCGAGTGCCCCAATAGAAAGTCTCTTGCTATGGGGGCACTCGAGCAGGTTCACTACCAAAATGAACATTGACCACACACACACTTAAGGTAAAAAAAAAAAAAAAATACCTTCTGCATTTAGAAGCACTTTAAGACAGATATAGTATCATATGACCAGGGTCAACATCTTGTCAACTATATAAAAATTAAGAAAAAAAAACAAACCTGACAGACTCCCTAATTAGTTTTAGACAGCATGCAAAACAAAAAAAAATGTTTTTGGTGGAGTTGGGCTTACAAATAAATCTATAGCTAGGCTATGGACATTTAAGTATTTGCAGATCCTTAACAAGCAGAAAATTAATTTTACAGAGGTCAGTTAGAAAGCCCATACTGACCTCTGTAGCTGCAACCACTCTTAGACTATTCATCTTCAAAGTCCACAGTCATCCAAGTTGGCAGCTCAACTCACCATGTTCTCTCCTCACATACACCTGCTCTGTATTAGAAATTAGATGGCTGCTGAGTCACAGATGGGGCGGTCGGAGGATGAACTGGATTTGATAAGGACCTTCTGCTGTTAACTGAGGATGAGTTGCTCCAGTTTCTGCAGCTATAGAAGCCAGTGACAACTTGCTTTAAAACAAATTTACAGCTTGTTAAGCATATGGAATATTTGTATGTCCATAGGTTGACTACCATTACAATGACCAGACACTAGCTGTGCTTTTTTTTTTTTTGTATTTTTTTTTTTTTTTTTAACGAACCGCCTAAAGACAATATTATTAGTAACTAAGTCATCATTTTAATATATTAAATAGCAAGGGTCACAAATCCTACCTCCAGATCTCCCAATCCCTATGAGGCATGATATTTTTTGTTTGCTTTAAATATGAGTAGGCGACTTGTAACTTTTACCTTTGTGAGGCTCACGCAGCATAAAAACACAGCAGCATTGGCTATACAGTTCACTACAGGCACATAAAAATTCTGGACATAGGATTGATGGGGAACCAACTCTGAGAGTCGATTCCCAGTGTTTACAGGTCCTGTTTCTGAGCACTTGTAATGAGGCGAACAAATACAACCATTTCTATCTATGGACCGAAAGCAGAGTCTGAATTTTTTTAAACCACCTATCTTTGAACTCTGTATCAGTTGGCATTGTGAAAGTGTTCAGCGCCTGAGTACTTTTTGTATCAATCTGTCCCTCCTCTTGTATTCTTTCCGCTAAAAAATCTTCAGTCATAACCTAAAAAGGATAAAAAAAAACAGTACATTTCAGAATGCAAGTATAGTTGAATTTTGCTGCTTTTATTTTGCCTTCCTGCCCCCCTCCTTATTCCATTAACATGCTAAAGAAATTTCCCAGCACAGAAAAGATCACAGCACCCTACCTCACGACTCCTCAGGTCCCCAGGATCCCTTAGCAAGTGCAAGCAGTGGTCTGGCTATTGGGAAACAGTTATACAGATATCAAAATGCCTTAATGGGTGGATACCAGTCTGAAGGAGTGTGGGTTTCTGGACAGATGCATGCAACCACGCTAAGCAATGCCCACATGTAATGCTGAGCCTTTATGATTGAAAGAACTGAAATCCAATAAATAAAAAGGGTCAGGCCAGGACAATCAGCCTATAGGGAAAGGGTTGGGTGATGCTGGTCATCCTCCAGCCAGGAAATAAGTGGGCTGTATCAAATATGCTGCAGCTTCTAATGAACACTAAGAGAAGCTCACAGTGTGCAGTGAAAGCAGTCTAAGCATTGTCAGTACAGGAGAGGAACTTGTAAATGAAATGCATTTAAAAAAAAAAAATTATTATGTTTCAAATGGAAAATCAGTCAATGGACATGATGAATCAGTTTTTACGTGAGTTTTGTCACATATACGAAGTACGAAAAGTTTGATTTTAATGGGCGAGGAAAACATTAACTATTAAATTTATCATCCGTTCAGCAGACATTTTCCAACCTTCTCCTTCGATATTTTGGCTCAAAAAAGTAAAAACTGACTATTTGTGCTCATTACTTGGACAAAAAACAAATCAATCAAACTGTCCAAATGATGGATTTTCAACTGTTTTCGTCTAGTGCATGGTCACCATTACTCTTCCTCTTTCCCTCCTATATCAGAAGCTCTACTTCTTCAGGTTAACATTGCAAAAGTATTCCTGAATTATTTCAGCCGCTTACATAAACTATACATCCATTGAATGCATGTCCTCCAGTGTGAGGACTACTGTAAATCACTGTATTATATTGACATACCTGTATCAAAGCCCACACTTTCTAATGCTTTTTATCATGATAAAATTCACACTTGATCGGTCTACATTATCGACTGCATATTTAAATTTATAGATTGCCGAAAAAGCATTTGACCGCATACACTGGCTATTTTTGCAAATGACCCTACAAAAATTTGGCATCACAGGTTGGATGTTAACAGCCATTTTGGCACTATACTCCCTCCCCGCAGCCAGAGTGTTAACAGATAGACCACTATCAGATCCCTTTGAGATTACCAATGGCACCAGACAAGGCTGCCCTCTATCTCTTATCATATTCGCACTACTCATTGAACCCCTAGCATCTAAACTTCTGGATGACCCATTGTTCAGTGGCACACGGCACCTTAACACTGAGCACAAAATTAGCCTATTCGCAGACGACATCATATTGAGGATTACCAATCCAGTCAAATCCCTCCAAACAATTCGTACCCATCTCCAGCAATATACGATAGTCTCCTATTATAAACTAAACAAGCTCAAATCCTCAATTTTAAACCTCCACACACCATATTTCACTCAACTATCCTTTGCTAAACAATTCCCCTTCACATGGGAAAAAAATACCATCCCATATATGGGAATCAAACTCTCTGCTACAACAGACCAACTATTTAATTCGAACCATAAAAAATTACTTGAAACTATACCCCAAGAATTTGCCAACCTTCGTTCCTCAGAACTATCCAAAATAGACAGTAGCGACATTAAAAATGCTCGTCCTACCAAAAAATTATATATATATATATATATATATATATATATATATATATATATATATATATATATATATATATATATATATATCTCTTTCGCACTCTCCCTATACCAATCCCCAATACTTTCTTCTCCAAACTTCAAATCGATATTTACCAGATTCTTATGGAATTCCAAAAAACCTCGATCTACCACCAATCTCCTAATCAGCCCACCCTCCAAAGGAGGCGCTAGCCTACCACACCTCAAATCTTACTATAATGCCACTCTCATGGACCAAATTTATTTTTGGTGGCACCCAACCACAGAAAAATCCTGGTCCATAATGGAAACCTCACCCTTCCTTCCACTTAAATCACAACATCTACTCTTAACCACAATATTCTCACAAACGACATATCGCTTAAAATACCCATGCATCCAAGCCACTCTTCAAGCTTGGAAACATCTTTTATCCACAGATTACGCAGACTCCAAACAACTCCATACCCCACTCAACATACTACACTCCATTACGCCCTCGTTAGATTTAACCCAGTGGGAAAAATGAAACATACATCACATATCAGATCTTTACAAAAATAACATCCTACACTCATTTCAATATCTTCACACCAAATTTAGCCTCCCGGCTGCTGAATATTTCACCTACTTACGAATCATCCACTGCATCCGAACGAACAACATACCCCGAACCATAACAATCCCGGCTACGGCCTACACTTATTTCTCCAAACCGCATTACCCAAGTAAAGGCATCTCTACCTTCTACAAATATTTAACAGACCTACAATTTATCTTAAAATCTACGTCTTTATCCAACTGAGAAAAAACCCTAGCGGAAACCTTCCCAACCCACTCATGGACTACTGCATTTAATCACACTTACAAATCCTCTCACTGCAGCTCACACTGGGAATCTTATTTGAAAATACTTCATCAATGGTACCTAACCCCTGCCAGACTTGTCGTTTTCTATCCAAAACACTCCCCTTCCTGTTGGAGACAATGCGGGGACGTAGGTTCCACTATTCACATACTTTGGTCTTGCAAATCTATTAAATCCTTTTGGAATAGTGTATTCCAACTAATAGCCGAAATCTCCAAAATAATAATAAACCCCAATCCGGCACTTGCACTCCTACATATCGTGATTAAAAAATTCCCATATACCTCCCGTACCATCATGGTCCACATTCTTTTTGCAGCAAAACTAAACATAACCCGACTCTGGAACACCACCACAGCCACTTCCTTTCAATTGCTAATCTCAGATCTTAACTTCCAATGCGAAATGGAAAAAAGACTGACCACTAATAACTCCACCCAACATAAGTTTCATTCTCTATGGTCCAACTGGTTACAAAATCCTAACTGCTCCGTAAAACCCTGATACTGTACAAACAATCGCACAAACTATCCACATCAGACTGGTACTTCACCCCCATCCTCACACAACCTATCCCCCCCCCCCCCCCATTACTCTCCCCCTGTTTAATCCCCCTCAATACCTACTACACCTCCCTACGGTTCAGTCCACCCCAAGCATACCTCATGCTTATGCCGCAACTATAGCTCCGACCCCAGCCAAAAGGTGAGGTAATGGTCTAATGAAGCTGTATTGTATGCATGCATTCTAAACTGAACCAAATGTTTATCTCTGTTAAAAAGTTTTCTTGAAAACCTTCAAATAAAAATTATTGAAATTAAATTTATAGATTGCATTCTGTGTATTCAATGGAGCTTGAATTGCCCTTTTTTCAAAATGCATTGTATGATACTTGGCTTTTAGATTTGGCATTTATGGTGAATCTCCTTTTCTTTACTTTGAAAAAAACTGATAAAATAAACACTTACCAAAATAAATTGCAGCTATTTAATCATTAAACAACTATCACAGTATACGCTGGGATGGGTCTGGCTTTAATATCAAAGTGCAATTGTGGAAATAAGAAAAAAAGACAAGAGCTCTCGGTTGACTGATTTCTGTAATCTAACTTACTAAAAAGGTAATGTTTGCACCCTTTGGCATTTTGGAAAGGAAGTATATTTTCACAAACAGGAGAGGCGGCTATCAATTTGCAATGTAAACTAATTAAGGTCTTTTAAAATGTCTTTTGTGATCAACTTATTATGAAGTATGTTGTAATAAAGGTTAGATTTTTTTTTTTTTTTTAATTTAGCAACCCAGTGTCTCCTGCAGAATTTGTTGCTGGGTTTTTCCTTTCTGCATGTTGCAAGTGCTATCCCACCCAGCACACCTCTATTTGTATACGTATCTGATTAGTCTGGAGATTGTGCAGATCTGCTTTTCTGCTGGCTGTTGGAGCTGGATGTTGGGGCCTGTTCAAACCAGCCCTTTGTGGTAACTGCATTTCTTTTGAGTGGCACCCCCAACACACCTTTCCTGCACACACAATGGGCCTACACTTGTGCACCACAACACACTAAAATGTGTGCATTGTGGGCACAGGATGTGGGCAGCACCTTAGGAAAATTTGTACAGTACTGTGTACTCACCTACACAGGCCACCTAAGAGGGGATAGGTAAAACAGTACAAATTCACTCACATTTGTCATTAACGTTTTAGGTTCTTCTGTTAAACCCATCTGATTTAACTGCTCCTCTATATAACCTTGAGTCCTTAGATTATGGTCCAATGCAAAGGAAACATGCTGGGGTTGGATAAAATGTAGGAGAATTCTGGAAAAAAAAAAAAAAAGGGATTAGTCTAACAAACAAAAGTCAGAACTGTGATTGGATTATATGGAGTCAATGCAGCTGTATCCTTAAAGGAAAGCAGCACAGCATACACTTCCACTTTATAACATCAGAATTAATAATACAAAAAAATAGCTATTGTTAAGATTCCAGCATAAGCTTCCTTTCATATTGTGTCTTCTGCCTGTCTGCTAATCATTTCTTTCCACAACTTCCTGGATTTCCTATAAAATTTTGCAGTGTCTCTTCTCCAGTTTACAAGGACTACATATCCCATGGTACTTTTCTGTCTGTAGCTTGCAATTCCTGTACGGACGCCTCCTGAAACTCCTCCTATCAGCATCTCTGTAGTTCTGAAGGCCCACCTCTGAATTCTGTGCCCCAGTAGTGACTATTAACAGGGCACAGTAACTATGTGTCACAGAATTCAAAGTAAATGTGTGGAAATCATCACAAAGCAAGCTTACAATCTCAAGACTGTTCAGCGTAAGAGTAGGCTAGAAATAACTGATATACAAATGTTGAAATTACTTTCTGATTTTCCACTTTGACTACTGATACACTATTTATTATAAATACAGCAAGCTGTCAGAATTGCTAACCTGTAGCAATTATGATGACCTCTCTCTTCAATATTGTACTACAAATTAAAGGATTACTATAGCCAAAATAAACTTTGTTTTATGTAAAAGAGGCATGGACAACAGTGTGACCAGCCTCACAGAGCATTTTTTTTTACTGACAAAACATAGAAAATTTACTGGCTGAGCACATTTGACAATGACATTGAAAATGAAAACAATCAATATTTAAACAGTATAAATCACAATATGGAAACACTGACAATACCCATAACAAGTAATTTGACTGGTTTACATTTACAACACAAGTCAACACAGCATGACAAGTTATCAGCCCCTGATATTTAAAGACATTTGTACAAATCACTGATTTTTACAAACTGTCCAGAAATTTACTGATGGTTGGCAACACTGATTGACAAGCCCTGGTTCATGTAAAAGAGTTTAAAAAGATAATTAGATAGGAAGATATTTAATAAGGAATTTGGTGTATTGGGGGTGGGGGGGGGGGGGGGAAGAGTCATATTTTCAATCACACATTTGACTTTTTGTTCAGATTTTGGGAGTACAATAGCTTAAACCACCCCAAAACTTCACATGGGCATACTCCCCATTACTCTCCCAGTTAGAACACTCTCTCAGCTAACAGAAAGGACAACCAGGAATTGCTCTGTATTACAATAGCAACTGCAGTCACTGCTGTTTAATATAAAACTTGTTAACATTGTTCAGAAACTTCACTAAGAAATACATTGTAAAGAACACAATTACATTGTATTGACTCCATTTCATTCATGTGCAAGTTAAAGGGGTGACCTTTAGAGCTTATTCACAGTTGAAGAACACCAGCCACTCTTAGGGCCCATAGAAAACAATTGTTTTTAATGTGCCCCGTTCTCACTACAATGAATCCCACAGGGGCAGTGCAGTGAGGAGCAATAACATGCAGACAGGATGCAATTTATCACACCTCATTGGATGGAACAGCATTTCAACGCACTGCACTACTCTGTGGTGACATGAATGAAGTGTTACTTTGTACGCTGTAACTTCCAAAACAAACAAAAGTTTAGTGCAAATGGGCAAATCTGCTGGTCCTCAGTTAATGTAAACTTCCTAATAAAAAAAAAAATATTTGTTTTCTTTCATTTTTTTTCTATTTTTATTTTATTAATATTTATAGTATTGCATAAAAGGGTATGTATAACACAAATTTAGATTAAGTTTTGGATAGTGTAGAGAAGTATTCAAACCCCCGCCAGTTTATTTTTTTGCTGTGTGTGTACTAATAGGAAAATTTTCCTTGACTTCAGTAGGAGGAAATCTCCTAAAGTAAGGGAATTCTCCTCTTCTTAAGACAGCTGCCTTCTGAACAGGCGTTCCCTTGAGAAGATTTTCCCTTACCCCTGGTCCTGGGGACACTTTCTGTCTCCGTGATAATAGTTATCAGGACAAACAGAGCGAATTTCCAACGGAGATCCGGACAGCAATAAACACTTGACAGAGGATCTAACCCTTCCCCAATCTATATGAAAAAAAAAAAAATTCACTCTAAAACAACAAACAAAAAAAAGAAGTTGTGTAGGACCAGAATCGTTATTTTAGTGTAACTTTAAATGGGATAAAAATTTATATTTTGTACTTACGTTAACAGTAGTCTTAATTAAAAAAAGAAAAGAAGTACTTGTTTAGTTTTGTTATATCTTTTTGTCAAAAACTGCTCTGGATCAAAGTGGTTCTATATACTCAGTGGTCAGACATTTGGTGCAGCCACCTGACTCAGCATGGATCAGATGGTCTGAGCAATGAATATTTACTTTTCATGTTTTACAACATTGTTTCAATTTGCCAAAGGCAGCAATCAGCACTAGTTTATAGGGTTATTATTTACGGCACTTCTATATGTATCTACTTGCAACAAAAGTAATATTGGAACTGGAAATGACTGGACTATTCATAATATACTAGTGCTTAACTCAACTGCACATGCCAGCTGATTTATACTATTTAAATTCTTAAGAAATTTTACCAGAAGGACTCTCTCAATCAACAGGAACTACTATGAATCCTTATGCTGATGGCATTAGTAAATAAGAAGGTATACAGTCACTGCCAAAAATATTGGCACCCCTGCATTTCTGTCAGATAATGCACCAGTTCACCATGAGAAAATTGTTGCAATTACAAATGTTTAGGCAATCTTATGTTTAGTCCTTATGTTTGTATTGGTATGACACAAAAATGTGGAGAAACAAAAAGCCAAATCTGACACATTCAAATCCCAAAAATGGACTGAAGAAAGTTATTGGTACCTTCACAAAATTGTAAGAAATAATTGCTTTCCAAGTTTGTGATGCACCTGTAATTTGTAATTAAATTCACCTGTATCAATTAACAGATCTTAATGTTCCTGTGTCCACTGTGCACATTTTTAAGAACTTTACAGCTCATGGCATTGTTGCTAATCTCCCGGGATGTGGACGAAAGAGAAAAACGTGATCAATGATTGCAACAACGTATTGTTCGAATGGTGGATACAGAACCTCGATCAACTTCCAGACAAATTCAAGCGGACCTTCAGACACAGGGTACAACTGTGTCAGCTCGCTCTATACGTCGCCATCTGAATGAAAAGGAATCCTGTGGTAGGAGACGCAGGAGGACCCCACTGCTGACACAAAAACATAAAGCCAGACTGGAGTTCGCCAAAACTTGCGTAAGGAAGCCAAAATCCTTTTGGGAGAATGTGTCGTGGACAGACAAAACAAAATTACAGCTTTTTGGTAAAGCCCATCATTCTCCTGTTTTCAGAATAAGAAATGAGGTTTTTAAAGAAAAGAATACAGTCCTTACAGTCAAACATTGTGTAGGTTTACCAATGTTTTGGGGTTGCTTTGCGGCTTCAGGCACTGGATATCTTGACCGTGTGCATGGCATTTTGAAATCTGCAGACTACTAAAGAATTCTGGGGTGCAATGTAAGGCCCAGTGTCAGAAAAACTGGGGCTCCATCAGAGGTCATGGGTCTTACAGCAGGACAATGACCCAAAGCACATTTCAAGAAGCACCCAAAAATGGTTTCAGACAAAGCGCTGAAGAGTACAGAACTGGCAAGCAATGAGTCCAGATCTCAAAACAGCAGTTGAGAAAAAGAAACCCTTCCAATCTGAGAAACCTGAAGTAGTTGGAAAAAAGAAGAGTGGTCCAAAATCCCTGTAGAGTTCCCCGATGATGGTTATAGGAAGTGATTGATTTCAGCTATTTTTTCCAAGGGGTGTGCTACCAAATATTAAATTGAGGGTGCCAATTTCATCCAGTCCATTTTTGGGGTTGTATGGAATATGTTAGATTTTGTCTTTTGTTTTCGCCACATTTTTGTGTCATACCAATATGAACAAAAGAAACGAACATGAGAATGTCTAAACATTTGTAATTGCAACAATTTTCTGGGCGAAGTGGTGCATTATCTGACAATATGTTTGGCCATGACTATTCACACAAGTAATGTTCTGATTTCAGGTCTACTTTAAGTGACAACTTCCTATATTCTAGAGAATATGTAGAAGTTTTATTTCTGCACAATCAGTACCCTAAGAATAGAACCCCTGGAATTCCTCCTGAAAAACAGCAGTGCACTTTCTGGTATGCGAGTTTACCCAGACACTCCTGTGCCTATAGCCTTACAAGTGTATATCAGCAGTGCAAGATATAGGGCACTGTTGCCTCTATCACTAATCTTTATAGATGTAGAGCAGGTTTGGTGCTGTCACAACTGTGTTGCTCACTGTTCTTCATGCTGGAGGTTCTGACATAAGGAAGAAAAGCCTTCCTTGTACCAAGATAGTCATCTCCGGTGCAGAACAAGTAACATGGTAAGTTAAAATTTGGGAAAAGGTTAGCTGCAGTGACACCACAGGCAATAATGCTGACTAATCCTTTGCACCATTCTGCCTATCTTTTTTAAGCACAGCTTCCAGAATTCAGTTCCTTTTTAAGGACTGAGAACGGTTATTCAAATATAATGTACACACACAATATTACCTAGCACTCGAGTATTTGTTAAGAAACATCAGACCAGCATATAGCCCATCCTTTGAAACTGCAATGTCGATATTTTCTACATACCTTGCTCTGATAAAGGATGCACATGCCCAGATCCACAGCGGTGTGCCAATCCTGCAGCATTCTAATACAGAAGTACATGTGTCATTTTTACTACAATGTCTCTGTATCCTGTTAGCAGTGTCCACAGTTCTAATGGAATTGTTGACACACAAATGTTCTCTCACTGAAGGCTCACTGAAAGGAATTGATGCATTTCTACAGTGGGAGGCAGCAAATGATAGACATCTGTATGATTCAGCCAGGGATATCCAGAAATGTGGATTGAATGCGTGCAAGATGACCAACTGTTGCAAACAAGAAACCACATCCTCCAAATTCCCCAGATGGTTGTGAATGGCGACTTGGAGATTCAATACACCTGTCAAGTGATCTGTGTTGTTAACACATTTCATCTAATAAAAAATAAAAATATATTATTATTAATAATAATAAAAAAATAAAATAAACCACAGTTATTTATTTTCTTGTAGTTTGTAAGCTCTAATGAGCAGGGCCACTAATCCCTTTTGTAGTGAATTGTATTCTAACTGTGCTGTCAACTTCCATTATGAAAACTGTTACCGTTATATACATTTTTTACTATACTAATAATAATAATTATGATATAGCATAACCCTATAAGAAACACAAGGAAACACCTGTCAAGTGATCTGTGTTGTTATGCCCTTCCATCTAAAAAAATAAACTCAAATTATTATTATTATTATTATTATTATTATTATTATTAAAAATAAATTAAAGACCATTTAGAAATATAGCAGTTATTTCTTTTATATTGTAAGCTCTAATGAGCATCCTACAGGATGTACGACCAAGCAGATATACTGACAGGAAGCTTCAATTAACTACAACGACTCTCCACATCACTGTGGTAGTTTATTGAAAACTACAAGCCCACAGCCACTAAGGCTGTCGGGACTTGCAGTTCATTCATTCACGGAAGTCCGTGAATGAATGACGCAGCCATGTGGGCAGAGCCCCCTACGGTTGTACCGTTTTTAAATCTGACAGGTAGTACAGGGAAACTTCTCTGCGTATTATCTGTCAGAGGTGGAAGGGGGGGGGGGGTGGCGGGCACGGCTGCAGCTATGGGAACATGTTACATGTTCCATCCTAAAAATGGGTGGAACATGTAACACGTTCCCAAAGGTGAACTTATCCTTTAGGATATTTTGACAGCCATGGATGCCTGCTGTCACAATACAATATCCGGTACTTCAGATTTATATATCCACGCTGCTTAGCAAGGATAAGGGAATCTTAATGTATGGCCGATTTCGCAGATTGCTTTGTTTCTAGTTCAGGATGGAAAATTGAATTTTGCAATGGATAAATATTTTTCCTCTCTTCCAAGGTTTACAAAAGTCCCAAAATAACTCTCAAATTTTCATGTTCACCAAACCCAAAATGAAAATGCTATTAGGCTATACATCCTACACACGGAAAGATGTCAAGGCCTTCATGATCTCAAGTGTCATACCAAGGAATACCTACTGAGTATTTGATCCAACAACGTATTTATTTAAACATGTAGATTTAGAAAATACAATTATTGGTAGACATTTTACCAGGGCTTGTGCAATCTCTAGGGCTTCTGGAAATCTCCCCAGGTGGATTAAGCAGCGTGACTGGCTTTCCTGCACATCCCTTCTCATTGCATTATTGGCAATAGGTAAAAGCTCATAGCAGCTTCTGTACTCCTCAAATGCTTTCTGCAATAGAAGTATACATTACAGAACATTAATGAACAATATAAATAAATTAGTTTTTTTTTTTTTTTTTTTTTTTTTTTTAAACAAAGTACACAGCACTTTGAAACATTTCTACTTGTAAGTAGACAGAATTTTTAAGGAAATAAAACAACTAAATAATACTCACTGTAACAAAAACATATCTTTTATTTACCAATATCTTCTTTATAAAGTAAAGAACACAAAATATTGGGAATATATCAAAGAAACAATGAACATACATTCTCTGCTCAATAAATATATATCTCCTTTACTTGGCAATACCTGCTTTGTCAATTATATTATTTTTATAGCCTTCATAATGATTGGGATTTACAACTGCAATGTCATATTAGAAAAACTAGAAGGGACTCAGAAAATGAAAAACTGCTATGTAAACGCTATTGACAGACAGCATCATATATCCCATTTTTATTTTGCCTATAGCTCCGCTTTAAGCAGTTTGCCAAGTCAATAATAATAATAATAATAATAAGTAAAAGAAAAATTAACAGCTGCTTTAAAAGTAATATACAATTACAGAAGTGAAATATTACTTTAATATATAAACATTTAATTCAAATACAGTGGTACCTCGGTTTCCGAATGCCTCAGTTAATGTAATTTTCGGTTTACGAATTAAAATCCATTGAAAATAATGCCTTGGTTTACAAATTTTTTTTTGCAATATGAAGCAAGTTTCCGCAAGATGCATTGCGCCTGGGAGGTTTATAGCATGCTGGACTCTGTGGGTAGCACGTGGCATTGACTGTGGAGGTGTTAGAGCAGTTTTTGGATCGAGTTTTGAAGCCATTCTGGAAATTTTTTAACATGTACCTGTACAGTAATTATGCTTTTAAAGTGCACTTTATAAAGAGTTTTGAACAGATAAAATACTTTTTTTTTACTTTTGTCTGACCTCAATTGGTTTTCAATGCATTCCTATGGCAAAACGCATTTCAGTTTACAAATTTTTCACAATACGAAATGTCTCGGAGAACGCATTAAATTCATAAACCGAGGTACCACTGTACTTATTTTGATTGAGTTTTGGACACAAACCAGAAAGTTTTTCTGTCTGTATGACCAGTCTGCCCGGAATTTCAGCACTGTATGCTCATCAGTGGGGTCATCACCTTTCATGTCTTCACTGAACCACTATAAAAATGAAATAAACAGTTTTATAACTTCTCCCCACCTTGCTGCAGTGTCACCACATACAAGCACTCATAGCACCCAGGTCTATGATTGGTGAAATATACACTTTAAAGAAAACCATTCTGATAAAAATCAACAGCATCCCCCCTTCCCCCCCAATACCCAGCAGCATATACTTACCTTTTGTTTGCTCTAGCGCCCCTCCGTTCAGTGCCAGGAGCTGAAGAAGATACTCTTAGCATGTGACTTACTTCATCTGACAGTGCTGGACCATCAGCAGGATCAGCACTATCACACAGGGATTCCATAGCCCGACTCCAGCAACTCTGAGCTTATACAGGATTTTCCTTTTTATCCCTGCAGCTGAATGTGTGCTGCTAGGTGAAGTCTGCATTAAAGTGCATCTGTTTCTTTGCACGGACAAAGCATAGGTTCAATTTACGGCTCAACTCCGGGAGACAAACATTTTCCCTTGCAGTTGGGCTGTCCCCACACTGCAAGGTTAAACCCCTTCCCGACCGCCCGATAGCAGAAGTACTGCTATAAGGGCAGCAGGGATGCTCAAAATCACGTATACATATGTGATTTTGTTGTTCTGGGTAGGGGCGCACGTGCTCCCTACCAGTGCCGCTATTGGCTCCTCAGCATGTCAATCACCGGGTCCCGGCCGTTGATTCTCGGTCGGGACTCGGTGATCGCCAGTGGAGCTGATAGGGGACAGGTCTGTATGTAAACAACACAAATCTCTCCCCTGTCAACACAAACAGGCTGCTTTGTATTGCTCTGCACAGCAAATTTCAGTCAACTACTCACCTATACCGAGTACAGATACTGTGCAGTACGATTTGCATCAATAAAAAAATGTATGGCCGCAAATAGCATGCGATTTGAACAGGAAACCTCCCTGCACCGATCCCATGCTGTCACAGAAGGAAAAGCTAGGAATGAGAAGGCAGGTGAGGTGGGGAATCACATTCCTGTTCAAATCACGTTATTCTTTGCGGTGCAATTTTTGTCCATGCATTTTGTATTGATGCAAACTGAACTGTAAAATATTGGTTTAAGGCAGTGGTTCTTAACCTGGGTTCGATCGAACCCCAGGGGTTCGGGTGAGTCAGTCTCGCGGGTTCGGCGGAGGTGAAGACCCACACCGACTCATATGATTCGTGCAGTAAATATTCATTATTATGTTTTTGTTTTTGTGTGAAAATCATGTTTTAATGGTTTTGTTCTTTGTTCTTAACGGTTTTGTTCATTTTGTGCACCTATGTATAAATATATACCTAAATATATACCTATGTTTTGAATTTTAAAAATCATATTTTATTTTTCCAATTAAGAAGGGTTCGGTGAATGCGCATATGAAACTGGTGGGGTTCAGTACCTCCAACAAGGTTAAGAACCACTGGTTTAAGGTATCAGGAGAATTTTCCCGAGTAGGAGTATTCGTGAAAATACTCGGTATTGGCACCGATACCAGTATTGATGCATTCCTATCTGTAAGTATGTAAACCTATAGAAATCAAACACCTGGCACTAGAAATAATAGGTACAACTGCTCATGAAATATGTCTCTTCAGATAGGTGGTCAGCAGGTGGTAAAAACAGGCAGCTAAGATGCAGTTTCACTGATCCCAGTCACCCACCCACATTGTAAAATAACAACTGGAAGGGGGCAGTTCACATACCGTTGCCTCAATGCTTACTTTGTGGCCAATATATTTCTAACTCGGGGTGCAGAGTTTGACAAGCAGCACCACTTTTCAAACTTGCCCACTGAATTCAATGAGGCTGTGCCACAACCATGTGCAATGCACACAATCGCGGCAGAGTAGTTCAGCATTATAGGGTTAACCAAAACAAAAAAAACAAAAAAAAAAAAACAAAAAAAAAAAAAAAAATCAAAAAAAAACAAATAAAACAACAAAACAAAAAAATCACAAAAAAAAAAAAACAATCCAAAAAAACAAAAATAACAAAAACATCAAAACACAAATAAACAAACAACAAAACAAAAATTCAATGGAGGCTTGTGCCACAACCATGTGCAATGCACCAATCAGATGGTGAGAAGGCAATAGCACCTCATCACCACCTATAAAATTCCTGCTGAAAAGCACTGTGGCTGGAAGAAGAGAGCCTCAGTGCTGTAAGCACAGTCTCAGCACCAGCTGCAAGGACCACAAAAAGCCATCATCAGAGGCCGGCTAAAAGGACAAAGAACAGGCACCATCGGTGGGCCGGCTGCGAGAACCAGGACCGGGCACCATCGGTGGGGCCGGCTGCGAGAACCAGGACCGGACACCATCGGTGGGCCGGCTGCGAGAACCAGGACCGGACACCATCGGTGGGCCGGTGCGGAACCAGGGCGGTGCGAGAACCAGGACCGGACACCATCGGTGGGCCGGCTGCGAGAACCAGGACCGGACCACACCATCGGTGGGCCGGCTGCGAGAACCAGGACCGGACACCATCGGTGGGCCGGCTGCGAGAACCAGGACCGGACACCATCGGTGGGCCGGCTGCGAGAACCAGGACCGGACACCATCGGTGGGCCGGCTGCGAGAACCGAGAACCAGGGACCGGACACCATCGGTGGGCCGGCTGCGAGAACCAGGACCGGACACCATCGGTGGGCCGGCTGCGAGAACCAGGACCGGACACCATCGGTGGGCCGGCTGCGAGAACCAGGACCGGACACCATCGGTGGGCCGGCTGCGAGAACCAGGACCGGACACCATCGGTGGGCCGGCTGCGAGAACCAGGACCGGACACCATCGGTGGGCCGGCTGCGAGAACCAGGTCCAGACACCATCAGTGGGCCGGCTGCGAGAACCAGGTCCAGACACCATCAGTGGGCCGGCTACAATAACCAGGACCAGACGTCATCAGGGGCTGGCTGTGAGAACAGACAGCTGGCTCCCGGGTGACACACTGTGACACATTTTCAGTAGATTGCCCTCCTAAGGATGTGTGTGATGTGTGGATCCCAGGTGGCTGTGGGTACATGTTATTCTCCCCTTTAACAATGTAAATATGATTTCCGGTGATTGTAGAAAAGAGGAAGGGGGTCTACCAGAGAGTGGGTGAAGGGGGTCTACCAGAGAGTGGGTGAGGAGGGGGTCTACCAGAGAGTAGAGGAAGGGGGTCTACCAGAGAGTAGAGGAAGGGGGTCTACCAGAGAGTAGAGGAAGGGGGGGTGAGTACAGAAAGTCTACCAGAGAGTAGAGTGAAGGGGGTCTACCAGAGAGTGATGTGGTGAAGGGGGTACATGTTATCTACCAATGTAAATAGATTTAGAGGAAGGGGGTCTACCAGAGAGTAGAGGAAGGGGGTCTACCAGAGAGTAGAGGAAGGGGGTCTACCAGAGAGTAGAGGAAGGGGGTCTACCAGAGAGTAGAGGAAGGGGGTCTACCAGAGAGTAGAGGAAGGGGGTCTACCAGAGAGTAGAGGAAGGGGGTCTACCAGAGAGTAGAGGAAGGGGGTCTACCAGAGAGTGGGTGAAGGGGGTATACCAGAGAGTAGAGGAAGGGGGTATACCAGAGAAGGGGGTATAGAGAGAAGGAAGGGGGTATACCAGAGAGTAGAGGAAGGGGGGGAGAGTAGAGGAAGGGGGTATACCAGAGAGTAGGGGAAGGGGGTCTACCAGAGAGTGGGTGAAGGGGGTCTACCAGAGAGTGGGTGAAGGGGGGTCTACCAGAGAGTGGGTGAAGGGGGTCTACCAGAGAGTGAAGGGGAAGAGGGGAAGGGGGGTACCACATTGCTTTGCCGTATAGGACACATCTCTCCCCGCACTCCGGTCCCTGCTCTCCGAGAATACCGAGTCCTCGAAGCAGAAGGCAAACTCCATGTTCCTCAGGAACTACATTAACGTTAGCACAGCACTGTCCTACATTCTATAAATTCCGAGCGGAAACTACTCCACTCACATGGGTTCCCAAACACATCGTACGCACGCTTTCGTTTCTAAGCTCATCCTGCGCCTGCGCCACTTATGGAGCCTTGTTGACAGGTATGTTCTGGGTTTTTGAAGCGCGTGCGCTGTTATGGAAGCTTGGCTGAGCGGAGCGCATGCGTTGTTGTTGCAGTGTCTGTGCTGAGCGCTGAGCGGGTGGTCAGAGATAGAAAGTTGTGGAGCTGATGGAGGTAATGAAGGTCTCATAGGAGCCCAGTTCCTGGTATGTCATTGGCTGTAATTGGGATGAATGGTGTGTAGGTGGCTCGGCATGTGTGTCAGCCTTGTATTTCCATGTGATGGGACATGTTCATGTCATTTTTTGGGTGATACAAGAGTGGGTCTGCCTCTGACAACCTCAATGGAGATGGATGCAGATCTGACTCCTGCTAGATCCCTCCCCTGCCTGTGCCTGGATTGTACAGGATCAGCCTTTGTCAGATGCATAGAAATATTGACACAGAGCTGATCACACATTCACTGATCAATATTGACTCCTTCATGATGAGACAAAGTGTAACTAAAGGCAAAACTTTTCTTTGTTTACCATTATCATTGAAAGTGAAAGAAACCTATCAATGGGGACAACCTGGGGTCCCATCTCTTTGGAGGGATCTCCTCTCTCTTCTTGTTGTGGCTATGAGACACGAAGCGAAGGGTTGATATTCTTGTTTTTATTATCAAAAGAAAACAATCTAAAATAGTAAAAAAAAAATGTAGCTGTATTTTTAACCCTTTACAATGGCCCATCCCAAAAACAATTCCAATAAATTCCTCTGCTGCTGATGCACTAGGACACAACATGTGTTATTTGTTGTTCATAACCATAGTGTGGCTCAGAAAAAAAACTGCATATTTTGGAGGTTTTTGTTTTTAGCCTACCTAAAACTCACTGACACTAATGCCTCTCACAGATGGCAGGCTCTACTATCCCTCTGAAAAGTGATCCACAGTGGATCTCCCTATACCGATCTGTCCAACTATCTCCTTATCTATCCACCTTTACACAATCCCTGAAAACCCTTCTCTTTAAAGAAGCTTATCCTACTTCTAACTAATACTGTGTTTTTACTTTCTCCATCAGCTCATCCCCCAAAGGTATTACGCTTTGTATCACTTGACCCCCTTCCTCTTACCCTAGGCTCACACCCAAGCATTTTGCAGAAACGCATTACAGTCCATTTAACATGATTTCCTATGGGACACGTTTGCATCTGCATGTTTTCACGCGGTGCGTTATTTGGAAAGAGTCAGGGACATTTTTGAATGCAAAAAGTTGCATTTTTGGTTCTATAGACTTCAGTGGAAACACTGCAGAAAAGCTTGTAGTGCGTTTTTGCCATGTTTTTGCTGCATTTTGTGTTTTAAATCTGCCAAGCAACAAGAAAAAAAGCGGTAGTAGGGGGGTAGTAAAAACACAGATCAATGCCTGTTTTCTACACCACCTATTGAAGGAGAAAGATACAGTGAAGGTTTCTCAAAGGCTATGTTTCTCATCATGTGCGTTTTTTAGGTCCCATTCACACATATGGCTGGGGCCTTAGTGCATTTACTGATCTGCAGAAACACACTACAGTCCATTCAACCCTATTGCTTATGGATCCCATTCACATCTATGCTGTTTCCAGCAATGCGTTTTTTTGGAAAGGTGCAGGGACTATTTTACATGCAGTACGGTGTGTTTTTGCTCCATAGACTTTAATTGAATCACATCAAAAACACATTTGTATGTGTTCTTGATGCGTTTTGACCTCCTTCTAGCAACATCAACTCATAGGTTGCCATTGGCCAAAACAAAAAAGATGCATAATATATTAAAAATGCACATGAGAAAACATAAAAAGTGCCTCAAAAACACATTGACTGCACATAAATAGATCTAAACCAAGACTTTCTCGTGATCACTGTGATTTGCTGCTGATCATTACTCTGATACCAGGAACTATCAGTAACTGTTTCGTCTTCATGCTGGGGATGCTCAATGCAGCACATACAAAATACAAAGGTGCTCATATATATTTTGTGTGTGTTTTGGTGTCCGATTTGGGAGATTCCCTTTCGCTTCTTATCCCATACTCAAAACCAGGGGCGGACTGACAACTCATGGGGCCCCCGGGCAATAGGGGATCATGGGGCCCCTGTGTCCTTGCCCAAACTCAAAAAAGCCTATGAAAAAGGTACCAGGGGCATCTCATGGGGCCCCCTACTGACCTCGGGCCCTCAGGCAGTGCCCGAGTTTCCAAATGGTCAGTCCGCCCCTGCTCAAAACAAGAAGTGAAATCGGGAAAGTGAGGGAATCTTGGGTTGTCCCAAGGCAAAATTTTCCATTGGAAAATTGCCCCCCTATTCCTGTTCAGCTGACAGCCCAAAATGTGGGATTTTCATCCACTTTTACTCTCGATTATAATGGTCACCAGGACAAATAGAGAGGGTGTCTCTTCCTAACAGGAGGACCGACAGCATTAAAAACTGAATAGGTGGTCTAATCCATCTCCACTCTATCTAAAACTAAGAAAGTTTTACCTTTGGTTGTACTTTAAGTCTCAATCTGTGCTGCCACATACCTGCATACAGCTGGCGGGAAGAGGTCAATATACAATGATTTAAAGGCGTTCTATGCTCACAGAATACACTTTTATTTTATATATCAGCATTGTAATAACTGTACAAACAATAGTTACATTTGACAATCTAGTATAATCTTCTTGATGTGATTGCTGCCTGTCTGCTGTTTGTTTTCTACATTTTGGTCATTAAATACCGCACTTGCAGTGCTGTTCGTTGTTACTGGCACCCCAAATGCACCAGATTGCCAAACCACACAACAAATGTGGTAAAGCATGTGGCTAAAAGTAAAAAAAAGATATTGGAGCTTCATTTGTTGTGTCGTGGCGGCCCATTGAAATGAGTGAGCTGCACAAAGCTCATGTACCAGCAATGTGCTACGTAGTGTGAATGAGGGCTCCATTAATTTAGTGGAGTGATACAATGTAATGATATTGAGCTGAATATTCTTTTCAGATGAGAATCCTTTATGACTATGGTATATGTAAGACATATTCCACAATATTGTGAAGGAAAAGCATACAACTAAAAACAAATGACTTGTATACGAACTGGCCTACGTTAGATAGCTTGAGTACAGTAGCTGACTGAGGTCAGGATTGCCCCAAAGCAGTAAGCTCACTACTGTCTGTGGGATGACAGAGTCGTTGAGCCAAATCTAAAAGGAAACTCAAAGTTCAAACTCTCTGTACCACAGGGAGTTACTATATCCACCCTTTCCAGTAAGGATAGAAGGAGACACCCAGCCTTGGACGTCTTCTAGTAAACTCCTCAAGCTTCAGTCAGGCCAACAGCTTTAGGCTGCAAGGGCGGTATCTGATCCACTACATTTAGGCATAAAAAATGGAAAAGGATTCAAACCTTTTTTTGTTCTTGGTTGTTTTTTTTTTTTTTTTCATAGGCAGAAGTAATTGGATTTAAGCTGGACCAATGAAACTATATAAAAATATGCATACCTGGAGTTCTTCTTTAATTATTGTTTGGTTATTTTGCAAACCCAGATAATACCATATAAAAGTGGCAGTGACATTATTGCTGTGCTGCACATAGCCTGTGCAGAGAGCAGAGCTGTAGACCCAACATGCCCACCCACTACCTACTGGGAGCGGGTGGCAGCTGCAAGCTCGATGACATACTCGTACGTCACTACCTTTCTTCCAGGTTTGGGGTGCGCATGCACGTGTGCCCTGCTGACCTGTGCTGTATTTGGACACAGCACAAGTTATTGGTAGCTGATTTCAGTCCATGATTTTGGCTAGGGTTGCCCTGATACTGATATCAAGCATTTGCACAAGTACTCATGCAAATGTGAAACCGATACCTTTGCTGTACGATTTAAGCCCCTACAAAATTAATGGGTTCATATCACACTGCAAGGAATCACATGTGATTAGAATAGGAATGCAGTGCGATTCCTGTCCACATGCGGTTTTCCTGCGGGTGCGTTGCGATTTGAGCCATACAAAACGAATGGAAGTAAACGGTCGATCTGTTTACATCTGCCTGCCCCATAGAAAACAGTGGGCTGTGTCTGTGTCGGCTCCACTTGTGCAAAGCGGGGAATCAGATTCCCACACTTAGCATGTGAAAGGGCCCTTAACTTAATCCAGGCTCTGGCAGGCTCCCTCTGTCCAAGCTACTGTGTCCTCTCTAAGGCCATATGTGCCCCAGTCACAAGCTCACCTCCTCACATACAGTGCAGGGTAATAGCCCTACAGGTATGTAATGAAGTAGAGGGACTGCCCATGACGTAAAGCTTTAGGCACAAGAAAAGAGCACTGGAGCAATTCATTCTTGTAGTGCAAGGGGGGCCCACTGCAGGGGGGTGAAGTTTGCTTTATTCCCAGAGTTTGGCCTTTAAATTATACAGCTTGGACAGCTTGGTGCCCCATCATGTGAGTAAACAATGGGGTAGAAGCAGTAATGAGGTGATCATTCTACTGTCTTCCAAATTGCTTGGGTCGCTCCATAGCAACTCATCAATCTCCAGGTATCCCATTTCAACCAGAGGTTAGATTGCTTAAGATTCCTGTAACATGGTTGTATCTTGTGTTAACAATTGGCCTGTTAGAGCGTGTATGTGTCTGGAAGTCTTCTTACTTGTATTTATTTTACTTGTTCTTATTTGTAGGACTTACCATAAATGAAGAAAGGCTAAAAGCTTATTTTACAATATATATACGCTACACTTTCCATACTGCCTATAGACCTGCAGCACTAACTGCCTCTTGTAACCATGAGTTTAATACTGTGTGAATACAGAAGATATGTCCCCAAAGCTGCCAAGATCCTTCTCATTTCTGTCACATGGTTCTGTAGTTTTGGTGGAATCTCCACCAGTGAGTCTCCCAGAATAGCTTCTTATTTTGGAACAAAAACCAGATATGAAGAAGTCAATCCATTTCTGCTGACGAATCCATTGCTGGTTTCCAGAAAGAATGATCTTCTGCCCAATACTTGTACACCTCTTCAGGTAGTGTCAGTGATCAGACATGGTAGGAGATATCCAACTCAAAAACAAATAAAGAAAATGAAGAAAATGTATAACTTAATCAAACAAAGTGAAAGCAATTCAGAGCTGGTGAAGGAGCTACAGAGCTGGAACATGTGGTATGATGAGTGGATGGATGGTCAGCTGGTAAAGAATGGAGAGGACGACATGAAGAATTTAGCCCATAGATTGGCTTCTCTCTTCCCATCTCTTTTCACCTCAGACAAGCTCGAGCAATGTAAGATGTCCTTCACCACCAGCTCTAAGCATCGATGTGTAGACAGCACAAAATCTTTTATCAAAGGACTGACCCACAACTACCTCCGACTCCCAGAACTGACAGATACTGAGCAGGACGGTAAGCTGGAATGTTGTTCTTTGAATTACTCTTCACTTCCACCAAATATGCAGGTTTTCTAATTGTTTTATGTTTATTTATAATTTGTAAAGCATCAAATATTTTACTTGGAGGTAGGTGCATGCAGCTTTTTACTTTTAAAAAGATCCAGATAGAATGGTGACAGGGTCAGTAGAGTTTGACTTTTTCTGGCAAATAGACTATAGGTTTGCACATTTGAAAACAACATTTTGACATTTGCTCAAGCACAGATTGCAGGGGTCAATAGATCAGAATAATAAAGTCTATGTACCGGTCACATAGAAGTCCTTTGTTGTGCATTTTGCATTCTTTTGCAAGAGATGTTTGACTTAAGCACAGTACACAATGGCCAAAAATTGTCTGATTCAATAGAAGCTGGTCTAATGACTGTCTTCTGTCGAAGGGACATGCTGGACAACCAGCATTCGATCTCCATTTGCAACCAATGGCTGCAAACACTGTAGGGTGAGTTCTGGCAAGGAAGCTTCCCTGCTGTCAGAATTCAATAGAACAGCAGGGGATATTGCCATGCCAACATCACTTGTGTTGGTATGGGGATCTGTCAGGTTTTTTTTTCAGCCTGCTGGTTGAATGAAAAAAAATATCAGTGCGTATCCAGCTTAAAGTGGAACTTCACTCTCTCAATCAGCATGAACTATTTTGTATCCTTATGCTGATAGCAATAGTAAATAGATAAGAAGGTATATTAAATGTACTTGTTTTACACCTTTTTTTTTTTTTTTTTTTTTTTTTAATATTTCTTCAGTTATTTTTTGGTTTCCATGCCTAGGCAAATGATGTCATACATCCCAGGAGTCTTCAGGAGGGGAGGAGGGGCTTTCTTAGCTAAGCATACACTCCTGCCTGCACGTCTGAGCTAAGGGCAGATGGATTCCAGGAAGTAAATGCTGCATGAATCATCTGCCCTTACTCAAGATGGCCACAGCAAGAAATACTAGGGGTTGTTTTTCTCAGTAACTTCTCAGCAAAAAAAGTATGGAGACATGAATGGATGGGGAGTTTGCTTTGAATGTTACAAATGCATTAAATAGTGCTTTTGGTTTGTGGTGTTCAGATACAGTGTAGTTCCGCTTTAAGTACTATCTTTATCTACAAGTGATGCTGTCTTTGACCAGAATTAAAAGTAACATGGCCTAAACAAAACCTTGTGAAGCTTGGTTGGATAACGGTTTTTATTGAAAACGTATCTCATTTATCTTAATCGTACAATACAGGACACAGACAACCAGGGGCGGACTGACAACTCATGAGGCCCCTGGGCAATAGGGGATCATGGGGCCCCTGTGTCCTTGCTCAAACTCAAAAAAGCCTATGAAAAAGGTACCAGGGGCATCTCATGGAGCCCCCTACTGACCCCGGGCCCTCAGGCAGTGCCCGAGTTTCCAAATGGTCAGTCCGCCCCTGCAGACAACCTATTCATCCTCCCCAATAACCCTACCCCCTTCTGTGAGTCTTCAGTGTTTGCTAGTGTCTAAGCCTTGGTTCACACTGATGTTATGCGGAATTAGCAGCGTTTTCAGTGCGAATTCCGCACCGCATCAGAATCGCACCCCGTCCATGCGAACCGCTGCGGATGTGTATGTTAAGTTAACAACAACCCGAAAGTGGTCCGCAAAACGCGGTGCAATGTGCAGAATTGGATCGCATAGGTGTGAATACCTATGCGGTCTGATTCTAGTGCATACCCAAAATAGGCTTCTGCACGGTTTTGGTGCGGGTGCGGTGCGATTAGAGCCATACAAAATGTATGGCTCTGATTGCACCGCACACAAGTCACATGTGATTTGCACAGGACTGCGGTGCGGTTCCTGTGCGAATCACATGCGATATACAACAACTGACGTATGTGAACCCAGGCTAAAGGTGATGGACATCTTCTCCTTTGTGGAAAATTCAGCTTCATTGCTTTTTTTTGGTAATATTTTCTTTAAATGCTTTAATGAAAACCACACTGTCTTCTAATTCCTATACAAAAGCAGTGTTTCTGGATGGGTTCAACTTCCCTAAAACCTTGGGAACCATACTCAGGCCCCACATTATGGGATGGCCTGTAATGTTGATTTGTACTCTGTACTCTGGATCCTGCATCCACACACACCTTGGCACTTGGTGCAATGCATTGAGTCAGCTGCATGGTGCTATACAGGTCCAGAAGTATGGTTCATCACTATGGAACCCAGTCTCTGAAGACCCCTTTGGGACTATGCCCACCCCAAGGTTGAAGCCTGGACTTTAGAAACCGTCCAAAGTCCTGGACATGTAAGACAGGGTTACTGTATAAACCCCGCTATGTTTGGAATGTATTCACTTCGCAGTGTAAATATTTTAAAACTGGAGATAAAATTAAATCATTTAGAGCTCAGACCCAGGTGGATGACCAAGTGTTACATCACACCACTGGTCACATACAGTACTTTTACCTCCACTTCTGGCTAGAGCCCTTTAGGAACGGCGGGCGCTTCCTCACACTCTTTCTTCATGAGGATTTGTTGCAGAACAGTCTACACCTGGACTCACCCTATCTCCTTCACTCTACTCCATGAGTACCCCACAGAGGAAAACCCTCACATGTACCTATGCTGAAGACCAGGTGAACAGGAGGCAATTCAAAATTTCAGGCAGACATTCGCTCTTCCAAAGACCCACACAACACTCAATGCAGAGTGACAATGCATCCTTTGCACCGGAGCAGGAATTGGTTTTACCACTGGTCTCTGCATCCAATCCTAGCTCTATTTTAGTTACACAACAAGGAGCCTTTTTGACTAAAGCAGAATTTCTGCATATATGTCACATTTCCTGGGATGGATTGCAGCCCTAATACAGCCATCAGAAAATGGATTCCCTGTTTGTTCTCTCCTTGGGACCTTGCTAGGGGCACCCTGCTGGAAAATCTAACATTGCACTCTCATAGATACAGGCAGCGGAGCTTGGGATCAAGCCCACAGGTTGCCACAATAGGAAGCAGCTTCCTGTGATGGCACATCGAAAAGAGGAGGATCCAGGAGCGCCAGCAGGGGACCCCAGAAGAGGAGGGGTCGGGTCTGCTCTGTGTAATACCATTGTACAGAGCAGGTGAGTATATCATGTTTATTAGAAAAATAACCAAAAATAAACAAATTGCCTTTACAAATACTTTAAGAACCATTATGGCTTACCTGAAAGTTCCATATCTTGGAGTACAGTACAGGACACAGGCATCCGTCCCTTCTATTCCTTGGTTTACTCTGGCAGAAGGACTCCTGAAGTGGGGTAGTGTTATGGGGAAGCCACTACAAGTTGGCATGTCTTCAATTTGTCAGTGTTCAAGCACATGAAGATATGCACCTGTAATCCATGGTGTATTAATATGTTGCCTGTGTCCCGTGCTGGACATCAAGATATGGAGTTTACAGGTAAGTCAAAATTTCCCTTCTTTTCTTTTCTGAATAGGTGTATTTTTGAAGGATTTGCTTATATTGCCATAGATAATGATAGCAATGTTGAGGAATATCACAGGGTTTGATGCACCCACTGTGTGACCAGGGAAGGCAGCTGACTTCAGGTGGAATCGGGTATAGTACTCAAATGTGAGGCAAAATAAGAGTCAAATGAACAGATGGTGGAGGCAAAAGGCAAACAGAGTTTAGAAGACATGCCAAAGACCAAAGCAGGCTGAAGCGAAGCTAGAATACAAGTTCACTAAAGGCAATCCAATAGCAGAGTAACCACACAGCACCTTCGATATACTGTAGTTCTTTTAAGAATTCCTAATGAAGGCAGAAGTGCATTGTCCCGTTTCCTAACCTGCAGTGCTGAGTAATTATTACAATTAACTTATCAAGCTAGCAATTCACATACCTCTCTTTTTTTTCTTGTGCTGTCTATTAACTGTAATATCTGTAATATTTTGGGTATAGATTTAATTGCTTGTGTTTTTATTTGCATGTGATTCTGCAGCTTTCACTTGAACGGTCTTTGTTATTTTGATTACTAAAGTGTTTCCTTTCAAAGAAGTCATAAAATGTTATGAGTGAAGGAATACTGATGTCCAACAATAACATTGGTTTTTGTTTTATCAGATACAACATGTAGAGAACCCATGGTGAATGATACTCTCATGCGTTTCTTTGACCACTGTGAGAAGTTTGTGGTCCAGGTGGAGGACAATGACACAGCAATGCATGAAGTGGACAAGTTTAAAATTGGACCAGAAATGCAGAATGTAATACATAAAGTTGCTACTCTGTTAAGTGTTCCTAAGGATCAACTAAATGCTGGTAAGCAGATATTTATATCACTACAGTACTCCTTTAAAATGTATGATGGACAAGTGCAGACTCATTAGTACCTCCTGTTTGCACCATCTGCAATTTCCTGATAGTGATGGGGTGTGGCATAGAAGCACAGCAAGTCTAACATAGAATTGCTTGATGATTCATTCATGTGTTCTTATTACTTGTATTTCTTCTAATGGAAACTAAGCCTATACCTTCATAATTTTTTTTTGTTCAACTAGAGGTTTGGGGGAATCTTTCCGCTGTGCTAGTGTGTTCTGACAGCGGGGAGCCTTCCCTTCCATCAGAATACAATGATAAGTGTTGCCTGCTATACCTGGCATTACTGATCAATCGGGAAAAACCAAATGGGCTGGTTGTACAGAAGTCGATCGGTAGATCAACTTCTGTACAACCAGGGTGTCATACATGGATTGAAATTTAGCCAATCCCTGATGAACTGGCCAAATTTCGATCCTTGTATGGCCGGCTTTAGAGTTGCAACAAGAAAGCTGTGCTGTGGTACTAAAGACATTGTCAACCGTGCCTCTGTAATGGAATGGGCCATTTGTAGTAAAAATGTGGGCCAAAAGACCGGCATAAGTGCAATGAGGTAAAGATCATGTTACAAATTATTCCTTCAATGATTCATCACGAAAACTACAATTACCTTTTATAGCAGAAAACAGAAGGTCCTTATGAAGCAAGTTTCATAATAACAAATAGCGACAGCTAACCATGCCTATTTACACAGGTATGTGGCTGACCTGCCAAAAAATGTTAGTTATCTAGCTGTCTGCTAATACTTTGGCTTCAAAATATCCTAGGGGTCCTTGATGGGGACATAGACAATGATGCAACAATATATATATATTTTTTTTTTAACTGAGGTTGGGGAAAGCTAGAACCTCTTTCTGGCTTTTCATACTATGCATGTCTTCTTGTCACCTCCAAGGAAAGAGGGGTAAATCTCTGTAAGGTAGTTATTCTTAGGCAGGGTTCTGTGGAGCCATAGGGTTTCTCTACAATTTGTTAGGGGTTCCTTGAGCTATGGTTGACTGACCCCCCCCCCCCCCCCCCCCCCCCCTCTGATGGCACCTACATCACAGGTCCAACACCACTTAGCAGATCTTTTTAGCTGTCTGTAAGGGTATTATTCTGACCTCCGCTGTAAAAGGAGGAATTCTTTCTACTGACCATAAAAATTGAAGAGGCATTTATCCCACTGATAAGTTCATGTTAGCAGGGGTTCCCTGAGACCTGAAAATTATTTCAAAGGTTCTTCTAGGGTAAAATGGTTGAGAAAGGCTGCTGCATGGGGGCACAGGCATCAGTAAGAATCTGGTAGAAGATTTTATTGGCACCAGACCACGTTAAATTTTTTTTCCTGCTAATAGTTTGTACATTTTCAATTCCGCTTTCTATTAACCATACACACTGACCAATGTGTCCATCTCTTTGCTATAGATTTAATCCAAGTAGCTTTTTTTACCTGCTCATTTGAATTGGCCATTAACAACATTGTGAATTCTCCTTGGTGCCGTCTGTTTGATGAAGAAGATGCGAAGGTGAGTTTCAGTGCAGAAGCTTGACTTTAAGGTTACTGGTTATGGGTTTGCATTTGTGTTTGCATGGGTTACTTCAGCCTGTGACTTGTTTGGTTTTACTATATGCAAATGTCCTCAAGGTGACACAACTATAGGTGCTTGTTTTACTACATGATTTAAAGTAAATCTGTGGCCAAGCTATGGAAAATCCCATATTTACATTTTCTGAACAAGCAGTAAATTCACATTAAAGTGGTACTAAAGGCAAAATAAAAATGACACATATGATGCAGTCTGTCACTAGCATTAACCAAGCAGTCTTTGTTTTTCTGAGTCTCCTCTCTAACTTTGTTTTTTACTTAATGATGTTTATTTTGTACTGCCTTTAACAAACCAAGCTCTGCAGCAAAAGTGGAAGCTAGAGGTTTAAAAACAAACCTTTATCCCAAAAGGAAAACCCCTTAAAAATTACTGGCCAAATCATAAGGTGAAAGTAAAGATAAAAATAAGAATGCACCCACAACATCTAAGGATTGGCAAGCTGAAACATATTACATTTTTGTTTATGGGTTTACATACACTTTGAGGGCCCGATCACTTTGGCACATTGCAGTAACACAAAGTGATGTCATGTGCATTGCAGTGCTATTTATTTTAAAGGGTTCCTCAAACAGATTAATCCAAAAGACTTGGACTGCAACGTGTTGTGGTGCATTGCATCGGGGAAAAAAGAGTGCCTGTCCAATTTTAGCTGTAAACAAATTTCTATATACCTTGCGAGCCAAGATTATTTCTACCAAATAACCACCTTAAAGCACAAATCTAAACAAAATATCCCTTACTTCTAATGGATCGCAAACATCAAACACATAACTACCACTGTGCATACATATTATTTCACCAAAGTATGTTGCGCTCCTTATTAATTTTTAATATCCCTTAAATTAATACTAATATCCCCCTGTTTATACCCTTGTAATTGTTAATCACATAAATACAATAAAGTGATCTAATACTAAAAAATTAATAAAATTAAAAAATATATTATCGTGCCATTAACAAAAAATAAATCCTCAAATGTGATAATAACTTAATATCCAAGTGATTATTTTGATTATAAAAAACTCAATAATTCATATTATTAATACATACCAGTGATTATAAATTATTTTTAAAATAATTATTATTACACATCATTAATAAAAAATAATCCTCAAAAATAATTGTGAATAATCATTCATTTATAATTAGTGATATATAAAAAATGTCCCATCAATCATAAAAATAGTGACTCTGTGCTTATTAATCTTCAATCCGTGACTTTTTGTGAATCCTCCAATTAGTGCAGATGTAAGCTCACCTCCTTAAATGCCTACAATTAGGCTAAATGCGCTTTCGGTTCACCTTCTTTGGAACCTGCTGTTCGAGTGTACTGGTGAAGATGTTGCATGCATGATTTTGTTTGTCTATTATTGGGCTTGGGCAGCCAGTTCAAATAAAGTAGGCTGCCCTAACACAATCCAAGTGGAAAGACACTGCAGTAGATTGGGCCAGTGTGAATAGGCCCTTACTGAGAGTTAAGAGTTAGAGCTCTTGTATTCAACTCTTTATTCTGCATCTAAATCACATGGACAGTGTTTAACATGGATTTTAATGGCCCTAGTTCACACCACTGCAGTGCGTTCCAGTGCAGTCAACAAAAGTAGAACATATTGCATTTTTTCTGTATGGAACGCATCGAAAATGCATTGGATCGCTTCAAAAACATGTATGCAGGAACACAAAAATTGCAGTGTCAGCTGGCCCCTAGTCTGAACAGGACACTAGGAGGGGTCGCCTAAACGCGGCACAGACAGCAATAACCTATTTTTAGTGTAGGGAAGGAAGTTTAGATTTAATTGCTTCTTCATTCTATCCAGAAACAACATTAGCTTTGGACACAGTTGACCTTTAAATGACTACTTTGTAGCTCTGTTACTCTAATTCCTTGTAAAAAGGTAATTTCTTCATGATCTTCTTGACTATATACATGTGAAATAATCTAGATAAGCAAATAGCTTTTTCATAAATTCAGAAGATATGACCTATAGCAGTATATTAATCTCAGTGAAACAAAACCCTCCTATCCTTTTCATCCATGGAAGCTGTAATCTTATCCTCTGATCCGCAAATGCCATGGTGCTGCATATGTGATCAGTTATGACACCAGCCATTGATAGTTTACCTGTTTAGTTGAGAGTACAAGCAAATGTGACAGAATGCTGGGAATGTAACAGTTTTTTTTTTAAACCGTTAAATCTGTGGATTTAGTTCTGCTTTAAGAATGGTGTAGTCTATATTTATATCAACTATAAAACCAGCGCAATGTCTAAATGAATCTTACTATGTGTTTGTTGCATAGGTCCTAGAATACCTAAATGACTTGAAACAGTACTGGAAACGTGGCTATGGCTTTGATATTAACAGCCGGTCCAGCTGTAACCTGTTCCAGCATATCTTCCAGCATCTGGAAACTGCAGTCTCTGAAAGCAAAAGGTACTGTTATGGTTTTGTCAGTTCAAGCATACTTTTTTAACCCATTCATGACCAAGGTCAAAACAAACCTTAATGCCCAAACCCAATTTTGCAACTTTGAATTGTTGTAGTAAAACTGTGCATATTATCGCAGCCACTTCACTCCACTCACACCATATACTTGCTGAAATACATTTAATTTGGCTGCACATATTGCAATCTAATTTTACAGTCTCGTCTGGATTTATTAATGACTATACAGCTTGATAGCCTGGATTATGGATATAAATTGAATGAGTTGTTTAGGTAAAACTATAGATTAACTCTGCCCTCAGCTAAAGCCACTTATGGAGAAGTGGACAGCAGTATACGCAAATATCCATAAACAAAGATTGAATGATAATTAAAAACTAAAGTGCTTCTCTCTCTTTTTAAAAATCCAAAATAAAATGTCATATATATCATGTGAATCATTTGTAAATCAGTGCAAGCATTTCATAAAAATAAAATTAAAATAATCCATAACAAATATGCAAATTAATACCAAAGAATAAATGTTAAAAACAAGTTCATAATCATTTTCTATAAATATTTAATAGTGCAAAAATGTCTACTTTTGAAGTACAGCATGCAAAATGTGTTAACCCCACTGGTGTCAATTTTCTCCACCAATTTAGGCAACACATGCCTCTTACCAGAAATTGGAAGCTCTTATTTATAGGAGGTCACATGTGCTGCCCCAAGCAAAAGGTAAAAACATGTGGCAAGTTCTGTATCAGAGCTTTATCAGTCATAAATTGCACCATGGAAGAAAAGAAAGGCCCTGCATAGCATAATATTGCAGCAAATCATGATTTTATTAATAACTGTATATACTCAGAAGGAGAAATGGTAAACAGACATCAAAGAATAAAATTTTGGCCGCTGGTCAGCATGGGGGATGATGTCAGAACTTTAGCTCCACTCGACACGTTTTGTCATAACTGACATCATCAGGGGACCTGTAGATGGATCTCCACACTTCTTATTGACAATTCTGAATTATAATGTGCATAAAACTCTAAATCTGAACATCTCTAATTTGCTGCTTTTTGGTCTAATAAATATACAATTTATTGTCATCTATATCTGTTCACAAGGTTGAAAAAAAAACCTAATCTTTTGAGCTAATAACCAAGGGCGGACTGACCATTTGGAAACTCGGGCACTGCCCGAGGGCCCGGGGTCAGTAGGGGGCCCCATGAGATGCCCCTGGTATCTTTTTCATAGGCTTTTTTGAGTTTGGGCAAGGACACAGGGGCCCCATGATCCTGTATTGCCCGGGGGCCCCATAAGTTGTCAGTCCGCCCATGCTAATAACACTTTTCGTATTCTGCAGTTGCTGCACTCTTATTGGTTATTCTTGTCCCCAGCTCTCTGTGATCTACAGAATACCTCCCCCTATGTTACGGAGATGAGGAGCATGGAAGATGCTCTATTTTCTTCATGCACCTTCTGTCCCAGGGACAGAAATAATTTTTTTTAATACTATTAATGGCAGTGACCAGCAGCTTATAATGGGACTGCGATAGGCAGCGTGCAATCTGACCCTAACTGACGCTGGAGGAAACTGACTAACTGCCACTGACATCACCATTAATAAAGTGGTCAGTGATAATATTATACACTGTCACTGTACTAATGACACTGCCTGAAAAGGGGTTAACATCTAGGGGAATCAAGGGATTAAATGTGTGAGTAACTATGTGTAATGTGTGCTGCTTTTACTTACTGATCTCTGTGTTTCTTATCCCTGCATTGCAGGGATGAGAAACACAGAGATCCTTCCTTCTGTACAGAGCTGTACAGAGCTTTGTGTTGATTGTCAACACAGCTCTGGGCTGTGATTGTACACAGCCGATCAACAGATCTCAGGGACTTGACAACAGGCTCCCGCTGTGTACAATCACAGCGGGTGCCGTCCGAGGGGAGTGCATGCGCGTGCCTGAAGCCTGGCTGTCGTCAGCGACATACAGGAACATTGCTTTGCCTACAGTGGCCACCCATCCCCAGTACATTGCAGGCGGGCAGGCTGTCGTTAAGTGGTTAATGTACTGGGCAATCTTTACCCTCTCTATATGATGTTTCATACCACCCAGAAAGGTACACAGGAATTCAGATTCAGTAATTCTGGATAGGTAATACAAAGGCTGGCCTATGTTGTTTCTGTTTGCCAATGTCCAAACCTCCTGAAGACAGCAGTATAACCCAGCTTTATCTAAATTCCCATGTCCCTTGAACTACAAGAAAAGATTTTATGACAAACAAAAATCTCATTTGACTGTACCTCAACAGATGTGAGCCAACTCATTACCCATGCCTGTTTTACCTTGAGGCGATAATTGTAGGTTTGTTACATTTTCAGAAGATATATTCCCCTCCATTAATGCCTCCCATTGTGCTCAAGAGCATTTGTGAAGGGTAAAGGCTCCCTTTGGTGTAATGATCTCACTAAAACAACCAAAATGAGGGCAGTAAACATATGAAGGCATTTTATTTTATGCTGAAATGTCTAATTAAGTTGTTAAATATTAATGAAGTTCTGGGTAAGGGATCTTTTGTTGTTTGAACTGAGTCACAGCTTACTTTGGAATATTAAAATGAACACATTCTTTATCTGGGTGGAGAACAATGTCCCCGTAATGGGTTTTATGCCATTCTCAATCATGATTTATTAAAGGTCCTTATGTGGAATACTGAATATGTTTATGCTACATTGTTAATTGTCCCTCCTTATTCATTTTTACTGCATCGTGTATTTCTTTCATAGACTATCCTGCAGAATCAGAAATTATTTAAGACTTGTCTGGGTCTCTGGCAGCAGCAGATTATTTGTTTGTTTGTTTGTGAAATTCTAGTACAGTGTAGGCAATCAGGATGGGATTATTGTAAAGTTTTAACAAGGTTAATTCTAAACTTCCAGCTGATAAAGTTGCAAACTAATGTAGCTCTGATTTCATAAATGCATTAACTATATATTTTTTAAATGTCAGCAGTGTAAATTCCAGAAAAGCACCAGCGTCCCTTGCACTCTTGATGCAGCAGAGCTCAGACTTGGAGCGTTAGAAGCAGCATGGAGAGCCATTTATTTGTATGGTCATCTTAATGTGCTGAAAAGCAATGAGAGATCTGCTCATCAGTCTACTGCTTCTACTTTCACTGTCCGGTCACAGGCTGGGGGAAAGACTAGATCTGATTGTATCCTATCTGCAGCAGAGGAAAATTCAGGCCTCTCCCCTGTTATGTAGGGGCTGTACTGTGTGGCTGCGGTTTGTCAACTAGAACTTCAAATATAAATCCTTTGACAGGTAAAACTGTTCCCATAAATGTATTTTATTTGTGTATTTAGCCATTTGCCTGGAGCTCAGCTTTAAACCCAACTATGGATTTTTTTTTTTTGGGAGGGGGGGGGGGTGTAAAAATGTTCCCTTGCAGGCTTTTAAAATAAGGCAGTTGTTGCTGCAAAGTTCACCCCTCGTTTTCAGCACTAATCTGCTTTCACCACAAGATGTCCTCCTATCTTCTATGCTTGCAGTGTCTGCTGTATGTCTATCACATGCCTTGTGAAGAGACCCGGCACAGACCCTTGGCAGTACAGAGGGTTTACCGAACTCTATGGCACGCTTTAATGCATGCTGTTGTCTTTCCCTAAGTGTGGTTGCGGTTGCTGTCTCCTGAAAATGAAATGTGCATGTTGCCCCCCAGGGATGTTGCTGTGTGTTGACTGTAGGAGGAAATGTTTGCTGACCTTTTTGATCTTTTGTTCAAAATGGACAGCAGCCTTATCCAGCAAATACTAAAGGATCAATGAGTACTTACAGCTGCACTGGTGAAATAGATGAAAGCCAAAAGATATAACCGTAATGATAAGGTGGCTTGATCTGAACATTAGTAAGTACAAAGGTTAAAGTGGTTCCAAATGCAGAAGGTTTTTTTACCTTAATGCATTAAGGTAAAAAAAAACGTTCTGGGTGCAGCTCCCCCCCCCCCCCCCAAGCCCCCACTTAGACTTACCTGAGCCCCACCTCAGTCCAGCGATGTGCCTGAAAGCAGCTGCTCTCTAGGGTTTCTCTCTACTCATTGGCTCACACAGTAGCAGGAGCCATTGGCTCACACAGTAGCGGGAGCCAGTGGCTCACACAGTAGCAGTAGCCATTGGTTCCTGCTGCTGTCAGTCGCAGCAAGTGAGCCAATGAGGAGATAGCAGGGGGGGCGTGCGTGTGTGTGTGTTTTTTTGCTACTGGGGGGGAGGAGCCATGACTGCCAATGGGGACCCAGAAAGAGGAGGATCGGGGCTGCTCTGTGCAAAACCAGTGCACAGAGTAGGTAAGTATAACATGATTGTTGGTTTGATTTTTTTTTTTTTAATTTTACAACCTTTAGAATCACTTTAAAGTGCATTTACACTTTTGCCATCCTATATGAGAAACCCCACTATACCCTCATTGCATCCCTAAAAATCATTTTTTTTAACTTCTAACTTTTCAGTTATTTCTTTGGAAAACATACATAGGTCTCCATGGCAGCTTTGAAATTAGAATAGCTTGCATTGTGCAGTTAGAAAAAATATGTAGGGATTTTTTTACGTGCATTAACATACAATGTGCCATCCAAGCTTTGACATCTTTAACCCTTTGTTAGGACTGTCAGTGTGCACATCTAGATTACAGCTGATAAGATCTGCCAGCACAGTACAGACATAGTTGATTATGGTAAACGTAAGGCCCCATTCATACATGCAAATGGAGTCATTAAGGATTATATGTGTAGACCCAGCAGGGTTTCCTGGCGATTAGCAGCGAGCTGTAACTGTCTGCTTCCAGTGCTGATCATTGTGGGTAGTCGTTCTATGAGTGATTACATGAGAGTGGCCGCAATTAGCTGCTGGAGCTGGTGGCCTCCTATTGCTTTCAATGGAGCTTTCGCCCACAGCTAATAGCTGGGCGCCCCCGCTGGGGTCTCTTTCTTGTAATCAGTACTGGCCCCATTCTCATGTTAAAGTGTGAATGGGGCATAAGTCCCTAGTCCCCGCCTTAACATTACATAAAAGGGAAAGGTTACATAGGGATTGTAAGTAAGGTGAAAGATAACCACAAATTTGAAATTTTTTTTTAAAGTTATGCTAAGTGAATGGGAACATGTAACGAAAGTAGATGTTATCCCAATATGGCTGCAAAAGTGAAATAGTGAAATATACTTTAAAGTAACATTAAAGGCTCAGTTAAAAAAAAAAAAAATAACAAACATGTCATACTTACCTGCTTTGCGTAATGGTTTTGCACAGAGCAGCCCTGATCTTCCTCTTCTCAGGACCCTGTTTGCCCTCCTGGCCCCTCCCCCCTGCTGAGAGCCCTCAGAGCACACTGCTTGCTCTGGGGACACTCGTGTGCTCGTTCAGCCCTACCTCTCCACTCTCTCCTCACTGACTGGGATTGACAGCAGCCATTGGCTTCCGCTGCTGTGACTCAGCCAATGAGCATAGAGCCCTGGGAGAGTCAAGGCTCCCGTGCATAGCATTTGTTTGAGATCAGGTTCAGGTAAGTATGGGAGGGGAGCTGCACATAGAACGTTTTTACCTCCATGCATATAATGCATGAAGGTGAAAAAAAATTCAGCCTTTACAACCACTTTAAGCCTTTTTGTTTTTCATATTTGAGAACACTAGTACTCCAGTTACTATGACCATCGATTCATCCTGTTGTTGACTCTGAAAAAATATTCTTTGCATTTTGACAATCCCTATTAAGAACCTCCTGATTAGTTAATCAGAGCTAGTCTGTGCATTGGCTTTCATATTTATGAACCAGCCTTACCAGTTAAATCAAGTAATTAGCAACTGTTGATTAAATTAGTGACATGTCACATCTCTGACTGTTGGCAGTGTTCTGCTCCCTGCTGAGTTGCATAATCCCAGATGATTTTAATAGGCCAAAGTATGTAACAATTACCCTAATAGTCTGCTGCGGCTTGAGAATTCTTTGATTACTTTCAAATTTCTCTCTAAAGAAAATTCAGCCATGGCACTTTGGGTGGAACACTTTTTGAAGAGTCAAGCAATACAGAACTGATATTTCACTTTTTGGTAGATTCTGAAAAGTTAAAGTAATAATAAATTAAAAAGGAAAATGTAATATATTGCAGTTTAACAAACAGGTGTGGTGACTGCATTCATTTTCTTTTTTAGGCTTTTTTTCTTTATTTTTACCTGGTTATTCAGTGCCACACAATCCTGTTTTAGGGTGTCTCCCCTCTGGATGGAGGAAAACTGGAGACCCCTTTGGACAGCAGCATTGCCAATCTGGGGTGAGTGTCATGTTAGATGGCTTTGACTAAAGCTATCCATACACGTGTAGATTTTCGGAGAAGAATATTCGCAAGAAAAGTCGCGCAAAAACTCTGAGCATTCGATGACTGGACAAATGTCATTCAAAAATTGTCTGTTGCTTTTAACATTCGATTTTTAAAATTAAATGTAATTTCAGAATGATAACCACATACACTGGCCGAAAAATTAATTTGATCGATAAAGGTTTTTTCTTCTTGCCCCTTCGAATTTTCCCATCACTGCTGTCGAAAACAAACATCGATTTGACCCTACTAGCTATTAGAAAATCCAGCAAATATTCTTAAAATGCAAATTCAGCAAAAAAAAATCTGTGAGCGTATGGCCAGCTTTACAAACTGAAGCCAAACGAACACTATAAGCAGTTACAGCAGACCTTTTGTTTTCTTTTGAGGTGGAACGTACGTGAATAAAAGTTGATCATTGTAAGCACCCCTGATGGTGGTAGACAGTTTGTCTCCAACCTCTAACTGCTACTTTTACTGGACAACTTACTCTGTTAAAAGACTTTGAAAAATTAGACTTACTGGATGGATCAGCAGGTGCTAATAAGGGAAAAAGTCTAAAAAAAAAAAAAAAAAATAATGCGGCCACCACATCTAAGAATTGGCAAGCTGCAGTAATAAAAAATGTCAGTTTTTGGTTAATACCTCTTTAATGTTCTATTTTCTAATTTCCCTCAGAGGCTCTGGTGGTAAGGCTGGCCACACGCTATACCCGTAAAGCTGGCCACACGCTAGTAGAATTTGTGCATTTGAATTTTTTGTTTTAAGAATATTTGTTTTCCTGATTGTCATTGTAGTAGAGTCAAACTGCCATTTGTTTTTGACTGCATTAACAAGAAAAATTAAAAAGAGCAGGATAGAAAATGTTCTTAATTGAATTGTTCGGGAAATTCCATTTCTGATGTTAAAAAAACAAAATTTTTAAAAATTCCAATGATATTCATCAAGTCATCGAATGTATTGGGAATTTTCATACAAATGATTGCATGAACATTCATTTGAAAATGTACCAGTGTATGGTTAGCTTTAGCTTCAGTAGGATAATTAGAGTCCTGTTCTCCTAGATTTCTACGCATTTTTTATAGTGAAGAATGCAAAAGGAATAGAGAAGGCAAAGTTCACTTACAGCAGGATGAGTGAGGCAGACAGAAATGAGTCTGGAATTTTAACATATTGAAACCTGTAAGGCAAGTGGAGGGGTAACGGAACAATGACCATGATGACGATAGCGTTTTTGCAGAAAAACGTCTGATGCCTGTAAAAGTATCTTGCGATTTTACTAGCGTTTAGGCACATTTACAGGTGTCAAGTGCTTGGGCATTAATTCATTTAATTGGCAAGAATAATAATTTCTTCTGGCCATTGAAATGAATTCATTCTCAAGTGCTAAACGTGCCTGGTGTTAATGTGTTTAGATGCATCAAATGTTTTTTTCTGCCAAAACACTGCTACTCCTGGACACACTGGCATTGGGTTTTGTTTTTTCCTGCCACTTAAAGTGTTACTAAACCCTGCATTCACTATATCTGGTCTCCCACAGTACACAAAACATGGAAATGCAATTATTATAGTAAATATAAACTGTTAAATACCTTTTTCTTATCAGCAGTTAGAGCAGTATTGTGACTTCTATCAGTGTCCAGCAGAGCACTGGTTAAAGCTTGTAGGAGGAGTTTTCTTTTTGCTCTAGGAGGATGCAGAACCCCTGACCTCTGTTTGGACAGTGCTGTTTGGCCCTGTGCTGATCACATGCACTCTCTCAAGAAAAAAAAAAACAAAAACCTCTCTGCCAAAATACACTAAACTGAGCATGTGCCTGATTGCATGTACAGCGCAGAACCCTTTGGGGCGTAGTAATAATAATAATAATAAGGTTCAGGGTCAGGTTCAGTCTGTCTTATCAGCGTGGACATTTGAACAAGAGGAGGAGCAGAGAAGTCAGGATCAAACAGCCTTTTTACACAATGCAGAGGATTAACCCCTTAAGTTCCACAGTAAGTATAACAAGCATGCTTTGCTGCATATACAGACTGATTTTACTGTTGTGGGTTTAGTAACACTTTAAGTCTGATAAAAGTCTATGTGTGCATAAACTCATAAGCTAACATAGAGGGGCATTTGGACGCCCCTAAAAGCGGCAGTAAAAATGTTCTGTGTTCATGAGGCCTAAGTGTCACATTTTCAAGAATTTTTTAGCAATGCTTGGAGCAGAATTGCACGTTTTTGCAGCTTTTGTCAAGTGCTTTATAACTAGGCATTTGGAGTGCTGCTGAAAAAGTGGCAGAGAGCTGCTGTATGAGCAGAATATGCATGACAGAACACTTGGGGGGAAAAAAAAAAACTCTCAAAAGCTCATGTCGCGCTCTTCAAACATTTCCATTGAAGTCTATGGGGAGAAAAACACTCCATTCTGCCTGAAAAGTAGTTCATGTACTTTTTGAGCAACAGACGTTTTGCTACAAGCAACAGAATGCTCAGATGTGAACAAGAGCTATTACAAATAATAGGTTATTACTTGTTTAGCATGTATTCGCGTCAAGCTTCAAAACGCTCAAGTGTGAACAGGGATTTATAGCGGAACTACACTGTATCTGAGCACAACAAACCAAAACAGCTGTTTACTTTTTTAAAATTCAAAGCAAACTTGCACAGCCACCTATGTCTCCATGATTTATTTTGCTGAGAAATCACTTTGAAAAACACCCCTCTTCCATTTTTGGCCACAACTATCTTAAATAAGGGCAGATTAATTCACTTTCTGAAATCCATCTGCCCTTCGCTCAGGCAGGAGGGTGTGCTTAGCTGAGAAAGCCCATCGATCCCTCCTGAAGACTCCTGGGAAGTATGAAATCATTTGCCTAGGCCTATAAGCCAGGAAGTAACTAAAGAAATGTAAAAAAAAAAAAAAAGTTTTAAACATGTATTATAATATACACTATATTGCCAAAAGTATTGGGACCCCCTCCAAATCATTGGAATGAGGTGTTCCAATCACCTCCATGGCCACAAGTGTATAAATTCAACCACCTAGGCATGCAGACTGCTTCTACAAACATTTGTGAAGGAATGGGTTGCTCTCAGGAGCTCAGTGAATTCAAGCGTGGTCACTCTCAGGATCTCAGTGAATTCAAGCATGGTATAGATTGCCACCTGTGCAATAAGTCCATCCGTGAAATTTCCTTGCTACTAAATATTCCACGGTCAACTGTTAGTGCTATTATAACAAAGTGGAAGCAACTGGGAACAACAGCAACTCAGCCACCAAGTTGTAGGCCACGTAAAATGATAGAGTGGGGTGAGTGCATGCTGAAGCGCACAGTGTTCAGAAATCGCCAACTGTATGCAAAGTCAATGGCTAAAGACCTCCAAACTTCATGTGGCCTTCACATTAGCACAACAAAAGTGCATAGAGAGCTTCATGGAATGGGTTTCCATGGCCGAGCAGCTGCATCCAAGCCTTACATCACCAAGTGCAATGCAAAGCGTCGGAAGCATTTCAGGCCGTGGCCATCTTGATTAAGGGCAGATGATTCCTGTAGCATTTACTACCTGGAATCCATCTGCCCTTAGCTCAAGAAGGCAGGCAGGAGGGTGTGCTTAGCTGAGAAAACCCCTCCTCCCCTCCTGAAGACTCCTGTGATCTGACATCATTAGCCTAGGCATGGAAACCTGGAAGTCACTGCAGAAATGTGAAAAAAAAAAAGGTTAAAACAAGTAAATCTGATATACTTTCCTATCTATTTACTAATGCTAGCAGTATAAGGATTAGAAATTAAACCCCCAAAAAAGAGTGAAGTTCTACTTTTAGGCATTTTATGCAAAATACTGTAAATATATGTTTTGGAAAGTTGATTACTGCAACGCCTTGCAACATCACATATTGAGCATAGATTTGCATTGAAATGCCATTGCAAAGGTGAGGATTTCCCAGTAAAAGATGTAATGTGTAGAATTCACCACAAGAGGACATTCACTGCAAGCAATTTGTCTGCCATATGAAGGTTTATTGCCTTCAATTGCTGAACACAAAGCCAGAGTCCGATTTATCTCAGAAAGGGAGGCTAGCTTTGTGCAGTTTTGGCAACCAGTCAAATTCCAATGTTTATTCATTAAGTTCAAAGTTTGTTAAAGTGTATAAAGTTCGTGAGGAACACACTCATGTTCTTTTCTTCAATTTTAATTAAAGTGGAGCTCCACCCAAAAGGGGAAACTCTGCTTCTTTGCTCCCTCCCCCCTTACACTGCCACATTTTGGCACTTTTTTTTTGGGGGGGGGGGGGGAGAGGGTGGTACCTGGTTTTGATAGATACCCGCTCCCACTTCCGGCTCAGTTTGCCAGGGCAATCCCCCCCCCCCCTCCTTCCCCCCGCAGTCTTCTGGGACACTTCACAGGTCCCAGAAGACTGCGGGACCAATCACAAAATGCAGCGGGACTTGTGCATGTGCAGTAGAAAACCAGCTGTGAAGCCACAAGGGAGGCTTCACTTCCGGTTTCCCTTACTTTCAATCAGGGGCGACTGATAACTCATGGGGCTCCCGGGCAATAGAGGATCATGGGGACCCTGTGTTCTTGCCCACACTCAAAGCACACCCAAAAAAGCCTATAAAAGGTACTAGGGCATCTCATGGGGCCCCCTACTGACCCTGGACCCTCAGGCAGTGTCCGAGTGCCCAAATAGTCAGTCTGCCCCTGCTTGCAATGCTTGTGCCGGGAACCCGGACAGTAGTGAAGAACTAGGCCAAGTGACGACGGTGCCCGACCCCTGGACAGGTACATGTGCTTATATTAATACTAAGCAGGTACAGTATTTTTAGCTGCTGACTATTAATTTTTTGGAGCCTGGAGCTCCTCTTTTTAATGAACTTTTAGTTTACCTTTTGCCTAATTTAATTTATTCAGAAGCCAGTAGTTTATTGGAACCATTTTCTCAAATCCAAAATCCAACAATAGCAGTCCTGATTTTTATTGCAACATGACTAAAGTCCCTGAGGTTGTCTCACATTGGTCAAAGTGAGGACAGTTGTGCAGATTGTGGACACATTTAAAACTGAAATGTGTGAAGGTATGCCAGAGTTATGGTGGCCACACGAGTGTAAATACAATGGTTGGAAATAACGGGTATAGCAATAATTTGGATTGTTTCCATGAAAAATAACCATCTGTTCTGCATGAAAGTACAACTGATTTTGACCAAGTTGTTCTTTTCTTGGCTGTGTATGATTGTTTTCAAGAGAAATGATCATCTCTTTGTTGAATTGGCTATTTATTTTTAAGCCCACCATTACCCCATCAACTCTCCCCTCCTCTGACCTCGCAACCACCCTGCCCCCCACCACACCTAACATCCCGCACACTATAACCTCCCCAACACTCCGCTCCTTCAGCCCTACTACCATTGAGGAGGTCACTAAGGTCTTCTCAGAAGCCCACCTCACCACTTGCCCCCTTGACCCTGTCCCCACACAACACCTCCGGTCACCCTCCTCCTCCATCCTACGCTCCCTCACCCACATCTTCAACCTCTCCCTCTCTACTGGCGTATTCCCCTCCCCCCTAAAGCATGTGTACATCACCCCCATACTCAAAAAACCCTCCCTGGACCTCACCGACCTGAACAACCTTAGACCCATCTCCCTGCTACCATTCACATCCAAGCTCCTTGAGCGCTTAGTCTACAATCGCCTAAGCTCCCACCTCACTGACAACAACCTCCTCGATCCTCTACAGTCTGGCTTCCGTCCCCTACACTCCACCGAAACTGCCCTACTCAAAATCACTAACGACCTGCTAACCGCCAAAGCTAATGGCCACTACTCAGTCCTCCTACTCCTCGTGACCTCTCTGCGGCCTTCGACACAGTTGACCACCCCCTCCTCCTTAATAAACTACACTCCCTTGGCATCAGAGACTCCGCTCTCTCCTGGCTTTCCTCCTATCTATCCCAACGCTCCTTCAGCATTACCTATAACGCTACCACCTCCCCCTCTCTGTTGGGGTCCCCCAAGGCTCTGTCCTCAGACCCCTTCTTTTCTCCATCTACACCTCCTCCCTCGGCAAACTGATACACTCCCACGGCTTCAACTATCACCTCTACGCCGATGACAAGCAAATTTATCTCTCCACCCCTCACCTCACCCCTTCAGTCTCCGCCCATATCACCCACCTACTGTAGGACATATCAGACTGGATGTCGCTCCATTTCCTCAAATTGAACCTTTCCAAAACCGAGCTCCTAGTTTTCCCCCCCCCCCAGCCCCGCCCCCCCCCCCCCCCCCATCCTCTCCATCACGACCAACAACGCCACCATCGATCCCACCCTGCAAGCCAAAGTCCTAGGTGTCACCCTAGACTCAAACCTGTCCTTCCAACCCCATGTCCAATTGCTGGCAAATTCATGCAGGCTCCACCTCCGCAACATCTCTAAGATACATACGTTCCTAACCCCAGACACTACTAAACAACTCATTCACTCCCTTATCATCTCACGTCTGGACTACTGCAACTCCCTTCTCGCCAGCCTACCCCAACACAGGCTATCCCCGCTTCAGTCTATCCTGAACTCAGCGGCCAGACTCATCCACCTTACCAACCGCTCCACTTCTGCCACCCCCCTCTGCCAATCCCTCCACTGGCTTCCAATTGCCCAACGCATTAAATTCAAACTACTAACATTGACATACAAAGCCATTCATAATGCTGTCCCAAACTACCTCACCTACCTGATACCCAAATACCACCCAACCCGTATTCTTCGCTCCTCACAAGACCTCCTACTTTCTAGCTCCCTGGTCTCCTCCTCCCACGCCCGACTGCAGGACTTCCCCCATCCTCTGGAACTCTCTACCCCAATCCATCAGACTGTCACCTACCCTCCTCACCTTCAGGCGCACCCTGAAAACCCATTTCTTCAGTGAAGCCTACCCCACCCTCACCTAACAGCCGATCTCCTCCACTCCTCCTACCACTCCATCCCCCACAGCCACTTCCTCCTGTACCACTATCCCCTCCCTCCTAGATTGTAAGCTTGAAAGAGCAGGGCCCTCGAACCCCTCGTGTATTGTT